GAAGTTTAGTCAGTACTTCTACTTTCACCAGAGTATTTTTAAACTCGAGTATCTGTACTTCTACTTGAGTAAAGGATGTGTGTTACTTTTGCCACATCTGCTAATAAAGCAGGAAGAACAGGTACGTTCATGTGTTCGAAGTGACAGGAATCGTCTAATTGTCTAATCGTTCTTTAATTTGTTTTTACCACAGCGTAACTCACATAATGTCCAGTGGATGTGAGGCCACTCCTTGTGTTCCTCCAGGGTTTTTGTCAGTTTGCTGCAGAGGGAAACCTCACCGACATATTCGAGGAGGATCGACACGACTCGGCCCACCAGGTTGTCCAGCCAGGAGACGCTGACGAAATCACAAAACTGGAACACGAGAAGATATTAATGCTAATTACACATGGGAAAATGTTACTGAAATTACATATTTCTGACTTATTTCACCAATATACCCCAAACATTGATGATACACGACTTTACGCCTTTTTTTTGCACATATTAGGAGCTAGCAATCGGACATATAGCCACAAATTATTCGGCTTAATGCTTAAGGATTTTTCCCACATGTATTGATAGGTAAAACGTTGTCTAAGATGTTACTTCCAAGGTGCAGATCAACTCACAGGGACTTTCTCCTCCTCGCTCAGCTCGTCCCAGTCGTCCTCATGGTGGCAGCAGAAACACTTCTCTGCATTGTATCCGTTGTTGAGCAGCAGCCTCATCATCACCTCGTCCTTCAGGCAGTACTGCAGCGCCGTGGGAAACACCGTGTCGTTCAGCACCGTGAAGTAACAGTTCACGTCCACTTTAGCCGCCAGCAGCAGCTCCACGATGTCGTAGCGTCCCGACCTCACCGCCACCAGGAGGCAGCACAGAGGGTCCAGGTTGGGATTGGCCCCCGATTTGAGCAGAATCTCAGTACAGGTGGCGTCCCCGTTGGAGACGGCGAAGTACAGCGGGCTTTTCCTCATGTCTCCGTAGTTGTCGGAGATGTGAGGGGCTAGCTGAGCGTTGACGTCGAAGCCTTTCTGCAGCAGCAGCTCCAGGCAGCGGGTGTTTCCTCCGTCCGCAGCAGAGTGGACGGGGCTGTGGCCGGAGACACGCAGGGCCCGTCTGGTGGTGATCGGGATCAAAATCCTTAAAGCTCTGATGGAGAAAGAGAGTAGAAAGTTCTTAAAGAACTTATGAATCAGGAAATATTCTACATGAAGGCTGAGCAGTTCGTTTTTTGAGGCAAAGCAATGGACCTGTCCGTCAATTTACAATACCAACTATTTTAGATTCTGCTAGTTGAACTTAAAGAACAATCAACTTCCTCAACGCACTCACAGGTGGTGTCCCTCGTACGCAGCGTGGTGCACGGGCAGCTGGGAGCTCAGGTTGTGGACGTTGGGATTGGCTCCGTTCTGCAGCAGGATGTTGAGACAGTCCGGGTCTCCTGAACCTGCAGCGTCGTACAGAACACTGTCGCCATTTGGTGCCTGGGCGTTCACATCAGCACCTTTTTAAATGTGAAAACAGAAACAGAGTTCAAACAACCATCACAACACAATCAGCCAACAAGGTACCTGCCAACCTTTTCTCCCAGAAGCTACGTTCCCATACAACGAAACCTCAATGACGTCTCGAGCGACATATTTACTCTTTATTACTGTCGCAGTTTAAGTTATTTTTAAAACAGTAAAGAAAGTAAAACAATCGTGTTATGGGGCTCAAATAAGTACCTTGTTACGCACCTCAAGTTGCATATCTTGATTAAGTAGAGTATATTTTGACTCCCAAAGTCTTCAAATCTAACTCTTTATTTGGAGTTTATATTTTACACTTTTGACACCAAACTCTTGGACCTATATACACCCCGAGACTGGTGTTAAATGTACTCTTATAGAGTACAATGTACACTGTGGTTTTTGCTGTGTATGCTAAGCATGTTAAGAAGTAAGAGAGAGAGAGAGAGAGAGAGAGAGAGATAGATAATCAATAAAGTATCTATGTATATACTGTATGTGTTGCAGGTGAAGTTAGTTACGTAGGTTAATTAAAATTAGAACAAGTCAATGTTAACTTTTTATCAAAAACTGGGTACACTGGGTTTTCTGGGTAAAAGTCCTGCGTTTGTTAAATGAATCAGTCTGGCCTCCGCCTTTAGTCGTCATTGATTAGACACTAAAACAAGTGGCTTGACTTTATGTTTCCATAAGGAGTTTCACACACAAAGATGGTGTCGAATCAGTACAGCATTATGTGTTCACCGTGTTTGATGAGGAGCTCCAGGACTCCAGAGTGGCTGTACTCCGCAGCGATGCCCAGAGGAGTGACTCCGTACTGGTCCGTCTCTGAAACCTTTCCCCCGCTCTGCAGCAGGAGCTCCATGACAGGAACACAGCCGGCTCTGGAGGCTTCGTGCATGGCCGTCCACTTCTTCAGACACACCTGCTCCACCTGAGCTCCTGCTGCCATCAGACTGGAAACCATCTGATAGGATCCGGCTCTCACTGCTGCACGGAGGAGGAACTGATGGTCAGAGGTGAGAAGTAGTGGAGTACAAATACTTTATTACTGTACTTAAGTACATTTTTCTGGTATCAGTACTTTACTCCACTACTTATTTTTCTGAGGACTTTTTACTTTT